TGGGGGGGGGGGGGGGGGGTACGTTAAAGTTTGCGTTTGAGTGAAGAGAAGCACACGGACACAATACTGGTCATTTAGAGCTGGGAAAACGTAGGGCAGAGAGACAGAAACAACAGAGGGAACATAACATAAAGTAGAACCTGCCAGTGGCGCCCTCCAAACACCCACCCAATACGTCAGCGCTCGGTCTATGATATCATAATTGGTCGCTTTTATTTTGAAGCACTAGGCGCCTATCCCAAAAATTAATGCTGTTTTGAGAAAATCGAAGGTAAAGTTTTGGCTCGTTGTTCAGTTTCTTTTAAAGATAAGGAGAGTTTTCTCTATAACCAAACAAATATACACACCAAAGAAACCAAACTTCTCCTATAGGTAGGAAAATATCCACTTTTGGGGCAGGTCAATATTTCTGGAAACCCCCGAAATGTGGGTTAGCCCGCTTGTCCTTACAATTCAAGTCTGTGAAGACACTGTAGGCTCAGGTTTGTTGTATGTTACCCTTTTTTGTGTTAAGAACTCCAGAGCAGGAATGAGATTAAACTTCGTGTAGTGTTTTATGTATTTATGTATGTATTTGTATGTTTGCCATTGTAAAACCAAAGTGTCCTTTTGGGACAAATAAAGTGTAATTTATTTATTTATTTATTTATTTATTTATTTATTTATTTATTTATTTATTTATTTATTTATTTATTTCAGGATAGTAACCTCTTTGAAATGAAGGTGACATCTAAAAAAAATGCTCAGACTAAGTTCACTTTTGGGGACAAGTTTCATTACTCTCCAAAGGAACAATTATTATGACGATCCACAAGGCAACACGCCTAGTTTCTTTTTTTTAGTAAGAATTTTACGGCACTTGCAACACAATAAGGCCATTTTAGTGCCGAAGATTAGAGGTGTTACAAGAGAGTAACAAACATAAAAAACAAGAATGGGAGATAAAGACATTTATAGCTGTTTGATAGCAAAGAAGAAGCAAACCACACCAGTGCACCCACCGACACGTCTAGCCCAGATCTGACAATTGCATGTCCCCTCGACACCTTGAGGTACACGAGGAAAGAAGAAAAATTATTTTTGAAAAAAATGAACAAAAAATAAAAGTAAAGTAAGTTATACAATTGCACATGTCAGGGTAATTAATACCCGTTTCCTCATTTTACAGCTAGCCTAAGGCATTATCCCCGTTACAGAAGACCAACACCTATGGGAAAAAAGTCATGCATGTCCATATAATGTTCGTCTATTTCCCTTAATGAGCCAACATTATTCAAGGAGAAAAAATGGTATGATTTTGACACGAAATCGACGCTTCGCCTCTGTCGACAGCATTTTTCCAGTGCGCAAACTCGTGTTATTGGCCTAAAAGAATTTGTTTGGTGTAGATCTAATGTTTTGAAATTTACATGCACGCCTTTTCTTTCTACAACGACATTGCACTGTTTTGTAAAAGGTAAGACCTTAACAGCCAGAATATATGACGCATTGTGGTGAAATCAGGCACTCGTCAAAACAATGAGATGAAAAAAACGGGCATTTC